GAGATGGTAAACAAGCCAAGATAGGGGTAGATCAATGGGGGTGGGGGGAGAAATTGCCACTGATTCATTTCATAACTCAAGGGTAACTAACACCTGTCCTTGACCCTGTTCTGAACTTTACTTCTACTTGCCTTACACATCAGGGAATGTTCATATGAGTTTTGCAACAAGATGATATTGTTTGCACTCTTTTAATGCAGTGTAAGGGGCCGTTCACGCAGAATGCAATTTTACATTACACTGCGCTGCTTTTCCATAGTTTTTTTCCCGACTTCTCTTTTGCTAGTTTAATGACGGGAAAAACGGTCTGCGCGCCCGGTGCATGGTCTAAAAGGGTTGTCCCTATTCTCTTAATGAGTAATGGGTGTGTTTTGGGCATAACGTGCAATAAACCAATCAGAGTCTCATCTCCCATTCCCTTTAAGAGCCAGTTGCGCTTGCGCCATGGCGGATTCACTATTTACATGGCGGAATTTGTAAGCGCAAAGACAGAAGGGGTCTCCAGAGAGGAGACGGATCTGTTTGTGCGCGAGCAAATAGGTAGCCTAATTCTGGTACATGCAATGACTATTCATTATGACATGCAAGCATTTTTATATTTATGTAGCCTACACAATAGTAATCTTTTACATTGTAATCCTCAAATTTTTCATATTTGGCATGAATGTGTGCTGCTGCGTGTCCCTTGTGTGTGTAATAAGCAGAGTGTATGCGCGTTGTAGACCTGCCTAGGCGCATATTACTAACGTGCTGTTTAAATAACAAAAAAATACTGCGCCATTGACTTTAGACCAGGTTTTAGTTGGTCAATGGTGCAGTCTGTTTCAGTTGCCTCACAATAGCAACGCGCCAACAATGCGCCTGAACACACCTCGTTTTTAGACCAGCATGCCCATGGGCGCACAAATGGGTACAAATGCATTTACTATTTAAACAATGTATCGCAGGACGTAAAAATGATAACTGCGTCGGGCCGAAACTAGCCGAAACTAGCAAAAAACACTTGCGTCGTACCTGGCGCCGCATTGCGCCGGGTGTATGATAGGGCCCAGCATTTAAAAAATGTGAAGAAGTCACATATATATATATATATATATATATATATATATACTAATTCATACAGTATATTTCAATTAGCTACTTTATGTTAATAGATTGTGTAAAACATTTCACTTGCAGTTTAAATGCTCTTAATTATGAGTAACTTGGGAAGTTTCAAAGCAGCTTCCCAAACACTGCTAGCCAATAAATGTCTTCAGTGAAATGTGTGCTGACAGGTGGCAGGTGAATCTAGACCGTCATATTGCATGTCCAAACAACTAGCAGCTGACCACACAAAGATAAACAGACAGTACAAAATGTGCCCTCACAAGCCACAGACTCTCGCTCAGCTTGAAATGTGAAACAATGTTCCTCTTTTGGGTTTTGCTACCGTTATTGCATATAAAACTCTATTTAGCTTTGTCACATAATTTGTTGTCCCATGATCAGACTGGCCTCTTTATTTGTTCCTATTAGCACATAATGATTAAGATTAGGCCTATCAGTTAGATAACAACAATCCCAAACACTCGGCTATGGTCTGCGATAAATGTGGCATATCAGCTCGAGCCTTCTGCTTGGTTCAACTCTCCTGCTAACATGCTAAAAGACAATGATAGCAATTAAATATACCTTCTTATAGCATTACAGCATAATAATTTAACAAACATATAGGGATGCATGATATATTGGTATCATATTAGTCAATATTACAGCTAATTTTCTCTACATTTATCAATATCTAGATAATGTTTAATTTAGACCATTTATTGATTATTGGTCAGAACATAAACAAAAATTTTTTGTCTTATCAGCCTGAATTGTAATATCATGCATCCCTCCAAATACCACTCAGCGCAATTATGTATCTCAGTGAACTGGAATTACGTCATACTTGGGTTGTTTTGAGCATGTATTTCTTTAGTAACACTCTTTGTAATCCTTGTTTGTCATGTTTATCAGTCAAAAATATGGCAGCCATGCAAATACAGAGTGCAAGGCATGTGTCACAAACACAGCAATAGATCAAGCCTTCAAAAACAACACAATTTTCAAAAAAAGACACGCGCACAGCCCACTGTTACAGACACCTACAAGTATGCTTGTCTTGATTCATTCACAATGAAGGGTCCCGTGCCTTCCACTGCAGATAGTTTTCTGTTGTTAATGCATTAAAATCTGCATATTTTCTACAGTCAACATCTCTGTTTACTAGAACGGTCAATTGGCTTTATTAAATTGAATGCATTAGCTAATCAAGTTAGGTAAATTGACATCCAACTGAAAGAAAAACAAGAATGACACTGAAATAGAACTTCTCTCAAAAAGTCTGACTCCCTCATGATGAAATACCTCAATCAAAAGTAGATGACCATGAAGGCATGTTTTGTTAGTATTGTGGTTTTTAAGTGCAGAAAAACTTTTTTTTTTGGCAGATGGGAGCTACTTGGGATATGATTCCAGGAATGCCTAAACAGGGGCAATAAAGGGGGGTAGCTAAGGATGCAGGAGAATCAGCGGTTTAATGTGGGTCAACTCCTTTTGTCTCCCAGGCATCACCGAAAACAAACAGTTCTCCATTTTCCTAGAAATTTCTGGGACATATCCAACCATATGGTTCACACCACCTTTTTCAAGCCCCCTTTCCATCTTCTACATGCTTCTGTCTCACTCTCTCTTTTTTTCAGTTAGCAATGTTCTTTTTTACACAGGACACAAACACATTCTAGGATTCTGGAGGTGTGTATCCTCTCAGCCAATCACGGTGCGCTCATGCTGTGCATCTCAACCAATAACAAAGCAGTGGGGGTGGAGCCAGTGTCTATGACTGACATTGCTACTCGTTTATCACTGTACCCCTTCTCTTTCTTTTATCATCTCCCTCTCTCTTTATCATTCTCCCCCTCTCCCTCTACTGATTTATTATTCTAATGAAGCAGAGGTCAGAATCTGGCATAAATAGACTCCCATATTGGAAGGTATTCAGAACCCCACCGCCCCCACTTACACATACTGATGACAGTTATTAAGTAAGCTGGTTGGGGAGTTGGGCTGGCCCATAACTCCAACTGAAAGCACTATCTGTACTGAACAGAAACAATAACACCTGGCCATTAGCTCTACTGATGGAGTCAAAACACACACACTCTGAGCTAATTTTAACAGTAACTTTTAAAGGTTTATTTTAACAGATAGAGACAGAATATCAACCAAATAATCCAGAAAAAACACAAAGGTTAGAAATGTATTTGCATTTCAGTGAGTGAAATAAGTATTTGATCCCCTACCAACCAGCAAGAATTCTGGCTGCCACAGATTGGTTATGTGCCCATGTGGCACACAGATTAGTCCTGCCACTTTAAGAAGTTACTCCTAATGTCAGCTTGTTAGATGTATAAGACACCTGTCCACACAATCTGTATCTTCCATTCCAACCTCTCCCACCACCATGGGCAAGAACAAAGAGCTGTCAAAGGATGTCAGAGACAGGATTGTAGATCTGCACAAGGCTTGAATGGGCTACAAGACCATCAGCAAGAAGCTTGTTGAGAAGGAGACAACTGTTGGTGTGATTATTCGGAAATGGAAGAAATACAAAACAACCATCAATCTGCCTTGGTCTGGACTGGAGCTCCGTGCAAGATCTTGCCTCATGGGGTAAGGATGATCATGAGAAAGGTGACGGATCAGCCCCGAACTACACGGGAGGAGCTTGTTAATAATCTTAAGGCCATTGGGACCACAGTCACCAAGCAAAACATTGGTAATACACTACGCCGCAATGGACTGAAATCCTGCAGCGCCCGCAAGGTCCCCCTGCTCAAGAAGGCACATGTACAGGCCCATTTAAAGTTTGCCAAAGAACATCTAAATGAGCCAGAAAACTGAAGATGGGTCATGGATGGGTCTTCCAGCACGACAATGACCTGAAACATACCGCCAAGGCAACAAAGGAGTGGCTCAAGAAGAAGCACATTAAGGTCATGGAGTGGCCTAGCCAGTCTCCAGACCTCAATCCTAGAGAAAATCTGTGGAGGGAGCTGCAACTTTGAGTTGCCAAACGACAGCCAAGAAACCTTAAGGATTTAGAGGATCTGTAAAGAGGAGTGGATCAAAATCTCTCCTGAGATGTGTGCAAACCTGGTGACCAACTACAAAAAACGCCTTACCTCTGTGCTTGCCAACAAGGGTTTCTGCACCAAGTACATGTTTTGCTTGTAAACCTACCATAACAATTAAAGGCCCTTAATTTCTTTGTAAGTGGGCAAACTTACAAAATCAGCAGGGGATCAAATAAATATTTTCCCCACTATAAGAGATGGGTTGCCAGGGACAACAGTCAGTTTTTCAGTTTAGCAGTCATTATATAAATATATTTGATCAGAGAATGCTGCTTTTGAAATCTTGATCACAATTACGTATTCAGCAGCTAAATGGAAAAAAGTTGGAAATAAAACATTAATAAAATCAACTTTTTTTTATAGAAATCCATTGGTCTAAATTTTAATTTAAACTGTAATAATTTTATAATGTTTTTTATTAAATGTATTGTCTATTGTAATAATATTGCTAACCATCACTGTGATTATTTGATGAAAAACCGTAATACTGTGAAATATTACAGTTAAAGTTAAGTTTTCTATTTTAATTAATCTTTTGTAACATTATAATGTCTTTACTGTCACTTTTGATCAATTTAATGCATCCTTTGTTAATTTCTTCCCCAACAAATAAAAAATAAAAATCTTACTGACTCCAAACATTTGAACAGTAGTGTATGGATACAGAACATAATTCAAATTTTTTTTAACTACATATCCATACACCAGAGAACAACACAAGCTGGCTTTGATGGTGGGACTAACTGTGAGAAGTTTTTAAATAGTTACTTATGTAACTTCAAATTCAAACCTACAAATATTTGTAAACCAAATGGTTTTATTTCAATAAAGGGGGAAAACAATTAGTGTTTAATTAATATTTAGTTTTACAATAGTTTTGACGTCACAATTTAAACCATGTCACAAAGCTTGTGTATTTGTTGTAAGGTCATTCTAGGCATCAAGATCATTCTAGTTCAAGCTCTAAAACAAGAACATTATAACATGTGCATCTAAAATTGACCCACACACATGATCCAATGAGTTCACATAAGGTTATGATCAAGTTATGTAGTCTATGACCGTCAGAAGCAAGCTAACAGTCTTGGCTGCATATCATACTGCAACATATTCAACTAGGGCCATTGCATGACACAATCCATAGCTGTGGCTCTAGCAGGCTCTTGTGGCTTTACACTGATTTATATAAAGAGCTAGTTTATGTGTTTTCTCAAATAACTGGAAAAAATGTGTGGAAAAAAGATTCCTTTTTGAAATAAAAATAACATTGCAATATCTTTTAGCAACAGCTACTAACTAAAAACAATCCACATTAGGCCCACTGTGTGGCTTTGGGTTTGATAACCTTCAGTTGTTAAATAAATACTGTATAAAAAAATAATGTCACATGAATATCTTAAGACTGTCAGACAACTGACCACACTGCCCACGTCCAGACAGAGAAGACGGCGGCAGGTGACACTGCTGTGGAAACCTCAACTAAAAATACAAGCATATCCAGACATACCAATAATAATGTCAGGACTTCTGTCTTCAAAGGGGTTGTGTCTGCCTGAAAAACACAAAACAATACAAGCACACACACAGACATAGACACACTAACAAGCAAACCAGACTGCCGTTCGTGAGAGAGACGAATATTGCACGATTGTTTTGTTATACTCTTCCCTAAATGTGTGCAACGTGTTATCGAATGACTCAGCACCAGCTCTGGCACACGTGTTGCTAAATCAGGGTTAGAGGCGGGTCACTGATTCAAACCTGTCCTAAGAGCCATCCGCTTGGCAGAGCAATCAAGCCATACCTCGCCAAGCACAGCATTCAAAATGCCATATCAGGTTTTTTTTGTATGCTTGAACTGGTGCAGGCCTGTCAGTTGTTTACTTCTGTGGCTCAGATAGGTTGCTGTGAAGATAAGGAAATACAGATGAGAGTGTGACACTTTGATTATGTTGATTAGCTTGGGAAAAGCTCTGTGATCTTTCCACAATCAAACGTTTGTCAAAATAAAACATGAACATACAAAAAAAATTCACTGTCTATACCAGGGGTGTCAAAATCAGGTCCTGGAGGGCCAGTGTCCTGCAGAGTTTAGCTCCAACCCTAATTAAACACACTTGAATCACTAATCAAGGTCTTCAGGATTACTAGAAACTTCTAGGCAGTTGTTTAGGAGCTGGACAGTGGCCCTCCAGGAGCAGAGTTTGAGTATTTATGTTATTAAATTATTCATATTAAAAAATAAATAAAATAATTATATAAATTATTGACAAATTAAATGTGCTTCTTAAAATATATAGATATAAAAAGTAAAAATCAAATAAATATTTAAATGAATAAATATTAATATTAACTTACTTTATTAAATTATGAATATTAAAAAAGTAAAACAAATATTTAAATTTAAACTAGAATGTACCACCCTCATTTACAAAAAAACATTACTTTAATATGTATATATATTAATTAATATTAATATATTAATTAATACAATTCTAAATTACATAAAAATAATCTAAATTGAGTCTAAAAGTATTTTTAATCTTGTTATTTATACCACAGAAGATTAATTTAGTTGCAACAGACATAACAGAAAGATTGGTATCATTACATTTTTAAGTATGAGCTTCGTACCAAAGTAACAGCACTATGTGTATTTGATCAGAGAGGCGGAAAATGCCAAGGGTCTAGAGGGAGACATAAACATGACTAACATTCAGCTTACGAAATTGATAGCCCTGTTTTCTGTTCTTCCTTTCACTCCTCACTCTCCCTATCTCTCTCTAGATGTGACTCATCTCTCACTCCTTTTATTCAACTTCTAAACATTCCACCTCTCAAAGTTTACTTATGAATGAGTTTGTCTTTCTTTGTTGACTTCATTTTTCAACTTCTCACTGCCTCAGACATCACAGTGATCTGTTGCTTGCAGACATGCCAAGCTGTTTGGGTTCCAATTTATGTACACTTTGTACCAGCAAAAGGCTAAGAGTGATATAACCATCAAAGAAAGCTTTCCAAGCTTTCCACAGGTTCCATCAGAAGACCTGCTGAGATGCTTAAACAGTGAGACCTGTATCAAATCACAACAAAGAAGAAGATGCTACTTGCAAGGATGAATGACGTGAATTGACTCTATAAGCATGCAAGGCCTGTTCCACTGTTGCATTAACTGGAGATTCATACCAATCCCAATGCACATGTAAACACTGAAATGTAATCTGTAAAAAGCTTCTGTCAAACTTTAGAACATAGTGTTACAGCAAAATGTGGCTTCACAATGGCGTTTCTGCCAACCCAGTGGAAAATGACGCACATATAGGGGGGCTTTATTACAATGAAGAGGATTTTCCATCCTACACCTGCCATTGTCTTTTTCTGTAGAAAATGGCTTCCATAATGCTCAAATACTGGGATCAAAACAGAGATGTTGCTTTAGAATAACAAAAAGTGATGCTATGGAGAGAATGCACATGGATAGTGTGATACAATAAAGGTTAATGGTCAGTTTTAATATTTTTAGGTTTTGACTCAAAGTATCCCGCACAGTCACCAGACCATCCAATCTCCAAACAGATTTCTTCTTCTACTTCACCTGACAACTCAGTCTATTTCTGTTCTCTATTTCACATCCCTCGAATTTCCGGGATTTTTTTTTTCTACCTATGACATTCTTATGCTCTATAACAACACACACACAAAAAAAGAATACCACTTCCTCTTTGGGTCTGGTTACACGTGGGTTCTGTGGCACATGTGGCTGTGGCTCACGTTGCATCTTTTTATTTGCAAAAATACAGCATCTAAAATCAACTTATCCCCCCTACTTCTGGTGCCCCGGATGTGGCCATAATCGAAGATGGAAACTTCTCAAGGTGGTTTGTTTCATCAGGTTTGTGATCATCTAACACAAGTGTGATATATCAAAATGTCAGTCTCCAACTTCAAGGTTACACCAAAAAGGATTTATGTCTGAAGAATAAAAGTAGATGTTTATGTCAATAAACTGAATCAGTTTCTCTCATAGAAACACAAAGAACACTTTAAATGTGAAAGATTCATTGAGAAGCATTGAGATTTAAGAGGTGCTTACATCTATAAAAACTAAATTACAGGGTTTAACATGCACTTCACAGAACATAGGAAATGCTTCATTTGTGGTTTTATGGATAGATGGCTATCATGGTAAAGTACTTCTCACAACAATAAAAAAGTGTCCAGAACCTGTCCACGATGTGCTTGATGAAAATGTTAAACATTGGTTTTCTCTTCCAAACACATGAACAGTTGCGAAAGCTCTCATTAAGCCCTTTATAGAGTATAAACACACACACACACACACACACACAAATATCTATGAGCTCCATATAATTAACATTAACAGCATTTCAATCTTCTATACTTATACTATACTTATGACACACTGAAATACATGTTACATACACATACATGATAGCACAGACCTTGCTGATAGATGTTGTAACTAAATCATCCAGCAATTCAAAATTAGCTGTGTATTCAAAATAAATTGCATCTGCAAGCATAGTAAATTATAATTCAGTAGATGTTTTACCAATGGCCAATCCTTGTTTGGAGGGATCTTAAAAGCATTAAGTTGATATTTTTTTCTCGCCTTTGACATCACAGTTCAGTATAGTTGTTAGTGTAGGTCATGCCGATCAACATTGTTGTGATGTAATTTTCCTGCATGTAATGGGTCTGCCAGCTGAGCAACTGCTATTTGGATATAATGGTATTGTAGACATTCATTTAGCAATCTAATCCTATTTGTTCAAGAATAAAGAAATAAAACAATTCTGCAAGCATTTAGGTCAAAAGCGGTGGAAATTTCCACTGTATCAAGCTTAAGGCAGTCAAGTTAGTAAGTGGTTTTATTATGAGGTAATGGCACCCTCTGGTGTTCGTAATTTTACACTATGGGAAAAACTTGGTTTTGTGGTAACTCACCAAATCACCACAGTATTGTCACAGTGTCCAGTTGCCAAACACAGCTTTTATATAACATTCATGACATGATTTCAATGCCATTTTGAGTAAAAGTCAACACTGCTGCACACATTTGACGTAATCTAAAAAAACAGGTCTCCTCCCTGACCACTGGGGCTTGATCTGCTATGTCATTCCAAAACTAACTATAACATGTAAAAGTTTGAAACCCAAAACAAATCCATTTGCACAGCTTTACATGCATTCATTCATATTAATCAACAACAGATGGGCTGTAATCTGATCCTTGTACACAGCATAACATCCAACACTCTAAAAAATTGTGCTCACTTGCTTTGTCCTCATCTTTCACATTCATAATTCTGCCAACAGTAGATTCTGTATTTCATCTGCACTGCTTTCCTCATCCTACTTATTTCATGAGGTGTTTGTGCAGATCAACAGAAGTGGCATTAACAGCACTCTCATAAAAGCATTAACAATGCTTATAACACTCCCAGACCGAACCAGCAGGGGAGAGAAAATGTCACATACGCACACCATCTTAGAAGCCAAAGTGCTAACTGTGTGGTGTTATGTTGTGTACTGAGTATTTGGGGGAGTGTATGTCTTTCATTCCATATTCCATCCAAAGACTTGTTTTTTTGGAACAAGGCCATTTTTCACATCCAAATAGGTGTCATTCCTCTAGGGCAGTACCATTCCTCAATTCCTAGAGTTGAGAGAGGTTTCTAAGGCTTTCACCCTCCCCTCAGTGGAGTTACCACAAACAAGTCCCCCTCCCCAATCATGTGGTTGTTGTGCTGCAGAACTCCATGCTGTCATGTTAGCCCCCTTCCTTAAATGGGGAGAAAACACAGTCTGCAGATTGTTTTCCACTCATATTCTTTCTCTAAGGTGAAGTATAATTAAAGTGTCTATTTATCCTTTTCTTTTCTGCTCGCTTAACCCTCTATTGCACAATGCTGCCTTAGGGTGACAAACCCATTTTCATCAGTCTGCAATCACATTTTCATCTTCAGTGCATACAAAATGGCAATAAAATAGTTAATAATGAAGAGAAGACTTATAATAAACAGCTGTTTTGGTCACACTACATCCTGATGGCTATGTTTTGGCTTTTTAGGCATAGTATACCGTTAAGGGGGAAAAAATTGCCATGTGAAAAAACTATTTTCTTAAAAGAAACCTGAAGAAAGAAAAATGAATCTTGAGCACCAAATCACCATATTAAAATGATTTCTGAAGGATCATGTGATACTGAAGACTGGAGTAATGACTCCTGAAAATGTGGCTTTGCCATCACAGGAAAAATTACATGTAAAAATAGAAAAAAAATTATTTTAATATTTCACAATATTGCCTTATTACTGTATTTTTGATCAAATAAGATCAAGACTTCTTTCAAAAATGTAACTCACCAAATTTGAAATAGCTAAAATTCATTTATGAATGAGGCCTATTTTATGCAAGAAAACTTAATTAAATATTTTAACATTGCTTTAATGCATGCAATAGCAGATTAAATAATTTTGTATTAGAAAATAACCACTACTAAGACTGCAGACATGAAGACTTAACATTACTAGCACCCAGCTCACTAAACCGGTGCCAAGTACCATGGTGACACCCAGCTTCCATACACATAACAAACACACACACACACATGCACACGCGCGCATACACACGCAAACACACATCCAATCCACATGACCCTCACAAGGCCCAAAGCTAATTTAAGACCTAAGGGAAGGAATCATTTTCAAAGCCTGGGTGGGCAACAAATACACTACTCCAAGGCTTTCTGTAACATGTCTTACTCTCTATAATGAACATTTTCAGCACTGTACTGCAACATTATTCTAGGAAGCCTGGTGTCTTGAAGGCTCATATTTAGTGTCAAACACCTTTGCTTGGACCGAAAATGCCCTTATAATAATCAAAATAAGTAATATGGGAACATAAATATAAATATTATTCATCAAATCATCTTTGTGTATATCATTTGCAAAGTTAAGTACTTTGAATTTTTAATTCACAGACAACTAGTGCCACCTGCAAATGAGAAATATGACACTATATGAGCCATAACGAACAAAATACGGGCCTTAGGAAATATGGGCATCTTATATAATTTTTAAAACTCCTTCAGACCAGTGGACTGACACTGACCTAGATCTGTCTCTCTATCCACAGCTTCTCAGGGCTTATCACCGCAGAAACATGCATTAGTGCACACACACACATAAACACACTCACAATGAACAATGCCCATTCTGGTGCAACTCATTCAGGTGTGATGCACAACCAGAGGACACATCCTGTAAGTGTGGTATCAAGCAAGTGGGCTGCACCAACCACAATGACAAAACAATGCTCTGCTATATCAATAACAATTTTTTTCTTGGATTACTGCTTTCTGAGGTCACATCCTAAATGTGTGTCTTCGCCTGCCAGCATCTGTGTGGTGCTCACTGGATCAAAGGTCAATTTTATATTTTTTTCTCTACTGCTGTGACCTCATTTGTCATGGCCCCTTGAATCCCATAATTCCGGATATTAGAGCAGACGGCTTACCACTGATACAGTAAGCAGAAAGGGTTAAAAGGTCAACACAAAACAAGGGAGGAACATCCTATCATCTAACAACACAAAACAAAACCTATTTATGCAAAGAGAGGGCTTTGTATAAATAGCATAGGAAATGATTACACACATACATATATATATATATATATATATATATATATATATATATATATATATATATGAGATTTAAAAATATTTTTAAAT